AAAGCGCGCCTCAGAAGACAAAGACGTCACGCACACCATGTCACCTCCAAATGCAGCCTCACCTGCTTCTCTCCCACATGTTCCTCCAAGCTTCACGTCCTTAACACTGATTATTTTTAGAGTCCCTATGCCGTCTGCAGGGTCCTGGCTGATTCATTTGCCCCATTGCATTTGCCCTACTGGTTTATTTATCCGTGTATTTTCTTATATGAATATATATATATATTCATCCATGTGTTTAGTCCCCTTCTTGTTCCCAAATGGATATAAGGCGGCTTACAAGAATACACAAAATACAGTATGATAGCATAAATCCAAAGTAAGTAAGAAAAGGAAAAGGAAAAAAAAAAAAACAGTAACAAAGACAGAAACATAAAATGGAGCCTGGAAGAAAGCCAATACAAAGTGCATACATACCGCAGGGTCCCATTTCAAGCGCTCTGCATGGGCCACACATTGGGCTCCAAGCTTTGTGGCAGCCGAGCCACCTGATCGGTCTCACCTTTCACAGGGACCATCAAATCAAATCAAATCACTTGTTCAGGATGTCCTTTTTCCTGCTCTACATTCTGAAAACTTTTCTATAGTAAAGTATCACCAAATGGTGGCAAAAGGTCTCTCCTAATTCGCTCTAACGCCAAGATCCAGCTCCTGGAACAGTCTCCAACAAAGACAGATCCTCAATCTGGAGATTACATCCACTGCTTCTTATTTTGTTTCTGCCTTGTCTCTTGAAGCTCCATTTGGTCAATGACATGTATCTATTAAAAAGACTTCTTAAATGAGCAAAAACCTCTGCTTTCATTTAACTCAAGAGATAGACAATGTGACGTTATTTATAACAAAAGTTTGGAAAGGACCCCAAATAGCCAACAAAATATCCTGGTCAAATAAACCATGATGCTACTATATGGTGAAATATTACACACCATCAAAAATGGTATTTATGAAAACTAATTAAAAGGGTAGGAAAATATTCATGATAAAACTCTGAAGTACATGTTAAGTAAAAAATGAAGATATAAAAGAGCATTATTAGGATTTTAACTATGTAAAAAACTGTGCATAAAGATATATATATATATAACGCCACAAAAAAGTCTGGAAAGAAATCCACTAGAATGTTATCATTTCTGGCATTTGTGAATATAGGCAACTTTTATCTTTTCTGTTTGTCTTTAATTTCCATTTTTTTTATATATATTGATAAACAAGTTCTATATGAAATGAAGGAGGAGGACTAGGAAGAAAACCACCAACCCAGTTGGTTATTTTTAGCTTGTAAAATTATGGGCAATTTTCATTTTCTTTGAAGTTTTCTATAATCAGCATGTAAGTTCTAGCTAGACACAAAAGTACTTCAATTAAAAAAAAAAAGAAACACAGAGTTCTAAAAATATGATTGTTTGGTTGTTTTGTTTATAACGTCCAGAATGATACAAATGTAATACCACCTCACTATTATGTAGCCCATTTTAATTTTAACACCTCTCTAATACTTAGAATTGCATTTGGCTATCAGAAGATATCTTGTGAGGTAGCCCGGGTATCACTCCCTGCACTTAACTGGTGCTGAAACTCGGGGACTAGCCCAAAGTCACAATAATCAATGGCAGAGCTGAACTCCAACCCAGGTTCTTCAGAGCCCAAATCCAGTGCTCTTCCCATTCATTCAAGACTGATTGTGCTATAACCCAAGCAGTCACCAAGAGGCAGAAACATGGAAACAGCGACCCCTCCTTACCCATGAGGGTCAAGTTCCCGAGCAACCCCCAAGGTAGTAGAGTTCAGCTGAAGAAAGTATGATTTTAGGAGGTTTCCAAAAAAAGAGGGGGGAGGGGAAGTGAGGTCACATGCAAACTTTTGAAAGCCCTCATGGGTAATTTTTTGCACAGTGAAGCAAAACAATAACAACAGCACATTACATAAAGAGAATGAGAGTTTACATAGCTTAAATTCATAAAAATGATAGGTTCTACAGCGTTTCCATGTAGATCCTAAGATGATTTCCAGAGGTGATGAGTATGTCACACTCATTAGGGCAGGGGGACAATGGGGGTGACAGTGAAGTGATGAACAGGGGTGAACTGTTAGCTCAAATCGTGGATCTTCATATTCTCCCAAGTCATCGGAATCCAATCCTGAGATTGGAACAACTTGCTTGTGCCTTTCGCCCTATCAAAGCAAGTGGTTTTAGTGGCAAAACTTCATGACTGGCTCTTCTGAAGATACTGTCTCCTCAAGTCGTTCCTGAAGATACTTTAGCACTTCTGTACAGAGTTCAAATTGAATCGCTCAAGCTCTCTCTGAAGGTGGCATACCAAGTGTCTACTGTGGGTACTTAAATGGCACTACTTGAAGATTTAGGCTCTTCTGAGGGTGCTTTCTTCCTAATATGGTAATGTAAAAAGACTCTTAGGACCTCTTTATAGAGAGTTCAATGAAATCCTTCACACTTGGTCTGAAGGCAGCTTATCAGCTGTCCAGCAACGATATTGAATGGTCCTCCTTGACAACTCAAGTTCTGCAGAAGACGCTTTCTCTCCAATGTGATATCTTTTTTTTTTTTTTAATTCATTCGAGACACAGAGATACAAAGAGAGAGAGAGAGAATGAGCAGGGGGAGAAGCAGACTCCCCGCTGAGCAGGGAGCCCGACATGGGGCTCGATTCCAGAACCCTGGGATCATGACCTGAGCCAAAGGCAGATGCTTAACCATCTGAGCCACCCGGGGGCCCTCCAATGTGATATCCTGAAGGCATCACAGCACCTCTTTACAGAGTTCTTCTAAACCACTCAAGCTTTGAACAGGTTAAGATTTGACATGTAAATGTCTCAATTTGCATTACTTTCTTGGGGGAGGTTTTAATCGTGTTCTAAAGGCTCTGCACCTGTTGCTTCTAACTATATTTGTCTCCAGTCCCATAGCTTCCTAAGTGTCTTTGTCATAACTTATGATAATCACCCCTAGGGTACTGGAAGCTTCCTGAGAGTCATCCTCTAGCAGCATCAACAGGTTCAGTTTCAACTTCAGCCAATGTGTGCTCTTGTACCAAATGTCCCTCCTCATTTATAGGTTCTTCTTGATCCAAAGATTCTCTGTCTTTGGTACAGATCATTGAAGGGTATGTCACCATCTCTAGCCAGATTTTTTTGCCAGCTTGCATTACTGACAGGTCTGTTAAACTAGCTAATGCTTCTTTTATTAAGAAGACAACATTAAACTGATAAGAACAGATACTACACTTGATAGTGTCAGAACCCCATGCATTAGGATCTTCAGACAGAGGAGCCTTTGAGACTCTGAACAACAAAGGTATGCATTAGTTTGGCATAAGTCCTCTTGAATGGCTGGATCATGCAATGATCTAAGGGCTCAAGGATCTGTTAAGGTTGTCTTTATAAGGACTGGGAAGAATCAGCAGGACTTTGAATTCAAGATTTTTTTTTTTTTCATCCTGAACTTCCACGAGAAATCACTGCTTAAACCATTCCTTAAGGAGAGGAGTTATCCAGACTTTCCTGTTTATGTGCCAATACACCAGAAACTTGGCTTGGCTTTTTGTTTCCCCTGAGAAGATTTGGGCAAAGTTTGGTGTCAGGCAGCAACGGTTTCGTAATGAGGTCACCCCAGGTGTTGGCACTAAACAGAAATGTCGGCCTCTCTGTTTTTGCTGAACTCGGGTCGGCATTGGTTGGCTCTTTTTCTTCAAAAGGGCGAGTAGGATTATTCAAAGGTTTCCAAAGCATGGTGGTCTCAACAGCAGCGAAGATTCGGGCAGCCACATAATCTCCTGCTTCAGTTGCTTCCTGCACTTGGGGCAGATACAACACAGTGGTTCTTTCTTCTGCACCACGCTCACCGAGGACTTGGTCTCCCGGGCATGGTGCACCAGAAAGTTCTCAAAGCATCCCTTGCTCTCGGCAGGGTTTTTTTTTCTGGGACCCACTTCGGTGTCTGAAAACACATCTTTGGCCATCCCTCGTGCACATTCGCAGACCCTTGCGTGGAAAGTGCTTTGTTGTTCTTTTGCTTGTCTTCACATGCAAGGGTTTAACATTTCCATCATTTCCATCCGGGTCACCAGGGATAAAGCACCTCTTAGGTGACAGAGGCGTACCAAGAGGCAATCCTGGTCCTAATAAGTGTTGGCTTTCCTTATGGTACGAATTGTGGGACTCATTCTCACCATGTAAGTGACCTGCAAAGCTACTTGTTTTACCTCGAAGGAGCGGATGGTGAACGTCTCCTTTCTAAAGACACCCCCTTTCTTGCCTTTTTGGCAGCTTGCTCTGGTCTTGCTTCACTCTCTTCCACCTCAATAGTCACATTTATAGAAGCCATGTTTAAGTTTACGCTAATTAATGCAACCTGACCCCTATTTACTAGAGATTCTCTAGCCCCTCAGTATCACAAAATGGTTTTATGAATAACACATGGATAAATGTTAATATATTGTTGGGATGCTCAGTGCAAATGGGGCTGATGGTGGAGGAATGAGAGAGAGAACAAAGGACTCAGAAGGGTCTCCCCACCTCGTGATAAAGCCAGAGAGACAATCACGTGACGACTTGGACTGACTCCCGTATACGCAATTCAGAATTTTCACCATTGTCAGAAAGGTATACAGAAGTAAATCCACCTATACTCAAATCTCCAATAAGGTCAACTTACAGTTAGAAAGGGATTACTGTAAATTCCCCTCTAAGTTATGGGAAAGAAAGTCACTATTCATATATTTAAGACAGTGCTGTTGCTATGACTTCCCTTGGTCGAACACCATGAAAGGGCAAACACGGCCTAAGTGAATTTTCTGTAAACCTGCGGTTAAGGCAATCACACATTATCCTCTGACAAAACGCAACCTCTGAAGATGTACACGGAAAGGTCAGGCAGGCCCCGCACAGCCAATGCTCCAGAAATGACTACCCAAGAAAGAAAGTGACAATGAAAGAAAGAAAACTAGCCCCTTTTCAATGCCCGGCCACTGATACTTTACTTTTATCCCCTCCTCCTGGGAAGATAGAGCGAAGCCTGGCTTTCTTATTCTTCTCTTCAGGGGCCATGGGAAGTGGTTTGGAACTGTGGTTGAGTGCTGAAGAATCTCGGTTGTTACTGTTCATTCTCAGCGGTGGGGCTGGGGGTTTCTCTTCATTATCCAGACTGTCAGACATTTTCAGGGACAACTGATTGCACAGCTCCTACAGAACAGGAGGAGAAAACAGGAATTGAGAAAGAAACGGCCTTAAAAAACAAAAACAAAAACCAATCCGGTAAAATGGGGATTCTGCTGTCTTAGACACAAAAGCGTTGGTCTCGCGTGGTCTCAGGTTTTGTGATGACCTTTTGTGGAGGTTTCTTTTCTAGAGGGGAGGGACCTGTCTCCCTAAAGCCCAATGACACCATTTCCCAAAGAGGAAAATGAAGGCAATAATTAGTGGCTTTTCAATACATAGACACAAACACAGAAAGTCCCTTTCTATTTTCTGCTTTCCGCTCACAACCTTCTAATGAACAATTTACAACCTTCTTTAAAAACTCTACTCTGATTTTTGGTGATGCTCGGGAAGCACAACCTCCTCAAAGTCTGGGGTTGACACGGGTTTGGCTGTTGATTTTTAATGGCCCCAAACAAGGATTTGTTAGCTGCTTTGACACTGGGATGCCACTGGCGCCGGATTCTTACCTGTGTGTACCTGACGTACAAAACACACTCTACTGTCTTATGAGAAAGAACTGGGGCATAATCTAGTAGGCCTGACAGTTGCAGCAGACTCCGGATGTAGCGACAGGGAAACAATGCCCCATTTTCAGGTAGTGGGTAGAATATAAAGCTGAGCCAGATGTCCCCACGAGCAAAGAGGAGCTAGCTCCAAGGAGAGGACCAGTTCCTGAGGAGACATCATACCCTTCCTCCTTGTCATGTTTTATGCCCTGAACCGGGGAATGAGGGAGATGGCCTGGGTAACAGGGTTGAAAGAACCAGTCAGGGTTTTAGCAACTTACCTGCTCTTAAATTCATTACTCGTTAGTATCTTCTGCTTAGGGCCGAATACGTTCAGGTTTCATCCCACTGGAAGGTAAAGTGACCTGGAAAAGCATGGACTCCCCGAGGAAATGTTCCCGCTTCCAACTGTTTTCCTATTCTAATTCAAGTCCCTCCACTAGGACCCCAACGGAGGCTTGCGATCTCAAGTCACGTCTTAAGAGTATCTTCCAAGTGAATCTCCAGTTTGAACACAAGGCAAATGAAATCCCAGTGCAACAGAATCTATGTAAATTCATCAAGTATTAACTGGCGCTAATTTAGGAGCATAAGAGCTCTTCAAAAACGACTTAGCAGATCACTTTATTCCAACAACATTTACTATAAACAAACTTAAGTACAGCAATAACCAGGGTCTCCTCGTTACCTGCTGTAATGAGAAATAATCTGCCATAATTATTTTTATCTCTTTAGTGGTTACAATGTGTTTACTATTCGCAGTAATGAACTCTTACATCATGTGATGTGGAAGACTTTCAAAATTTTACTATGTCCCAAATTTTCTCCAATTTAAGTATTCAAGAATAGGTGAGTACCAACTAATAGTTTCTCCATCTGCACAGGTGACTGCCAACTAACAATGACCGGCTTGATCTTAATCTGGGCAAGAGATCTCTTTTCTTTTGGGGGCATGGGGATGAAAAGCAAGGCAATGATGTTCTTTGGAACAATATCCAATACTTCCCTTACGTATGGACGTATGATTATTGGCCCTGATTTCTCATCTAGTAAGATAGCAGCAGTCAGAGAGTCTTGCCCTCCTGTGAACTGTTGCAGTCCCTCCTCTTTTTAGCACCCTTCGTTTGGCAATACACATACCCTGACTTGTTTTGTAGTTGCATTTTTATCTGTCTATTTAATAAACATTTTATATATATATATATGTGATGTGCAGCCAGAGATGAAACCCACTGCTCAAGCCTATAATCTCACTTCCAGTGCCTAGCACGGCACCTGACACAGAAGCTTAAATCATTATTTGTTGTTTGAGTACGTATGAATGGAGACACAGATGGGTTACTTAAGAGACATATTCTTAGAGTTACTATTGGACCCCTTAAAGGACAGTAATCATGCTAGGGGAAACACTCAGTAATAAAAGTTTGGTCACCAATGACAACTTGATTAACCTCGCATTTTCCTATTTAGGTGAAACCCAGCACAAGATAAAGTGAAAAACTGTGATTTTAAGGATAGAGTATACTCACAGATACCACTGGTACTAGTAAATGTTTTGAGTAATCTAAGAAGCCAGTGCTAATGGATCTGCATTCCCTTTTGCATTTTAAATTTGGTCCTTCTAAATTCATTGTTTCTCCAGAAGAAAAGTGAGTTTAACACTGACTTCACCAGCAGCATTATTCTGTAGTGGATGGGTTCATGGTTTTCATTTAGTCACTGAGAAGAATTTGCCACAGAAAGCACTAATTTTTTTGTGTGTTTTTTTTTGTTTGTTTTACTTTTGGGGGTTTAAAAGTAATGCTTGAGTATGGGGTGATTATTACATAAAGCTCAGATACACAAGATATAGCTTGGTAAAAATAATGAAATTTGAAAGCCATTGCAAAGAAAAAAAAGACAAAACAATTGAGGATTTAAATAGAAATACCTAGAAGCTAGGTTTCTGAAAAATGTATCTCACGGGGGGGGGGGGGGGGAAGAGCTGGATGATACATATTTTCTGATGACATATTACATAACTTAAGATGACAAAAGTCAGAGAAACAGGCATGGCCTCTTTAATATGATATATGAAGCTGACCTTATGTAATAAGGCAAACGAGAGTCTGGGTCGGTCAGGGTTCTAGTACACCTACGTAATTCAAAATACTAGGCTCCTTTGTTCTTGATAATTAGGTGTGGCTTAACGGAGGGGTGTTTTGGTTCCTAATTACTCTCTCTCTGGCTAGAGACTCAACTGGTAGATGCCCTGCTTCTTTTCAAGCTGCCTGATTATTCTGACCTTATTTGACCAGGTATGTTCTAGGCTGGGGAAAAAGGGGGTACTTGGGATAGAAAAGCCCAACTATACTCCCCTATGTTACACTCGAAATCCCTGACCAAAATTTCACCACCACATGCTTGCCGTGGTCCATAACACAGGCATTTGTGAAGGACCCAGCTTATATGGCACACCTTCCTACTGCCCAGCAAACTGGAATTGTTTTTACTCTAGTCACCTCATCTGGGGATTGTAAGAGGAGCCAGAATACACCTTTCACAGAGATGGAAAAGAAACTGAGGAAACCTTGTCTAGTTCCACACTGAAAATGTGAAGCATGAAGCAAATCATCATTCAGTTTTACCTAGACATTTCGGATTTGGTTTTGCTTGAGTTGTCCTGATATTACTTCAGTTCTTTATTACCCTTTACCAGGCACAACCAATGCTCATCTCCTAATCATTCCAGAGAATTCTGATTTGGTGACAAAAGAATAGTGCAGGAGGCTCTTGTTATCTTTAACTCACCTTCAAAGCAAGCGCTTCAAAGCATGCTTTCAGAAGACCGATGGAAAAGGGGTATGGGCCAGTAAGGAAGCTCAGCTGTTAATATGTATGTTTCCCAAGTGGGAAGTGTCTCCGATTAGTCCAGAAACGTAGAAGAACGGGGGATTCTATTATGTTATGTTTGTAAACAATGCCAATTTACTAATCCAGGTCCCTCCCCTGAGACAGCTTTCTACAAAGGATACTATTAATGGATTGCTGGTTCAATCTGCCTATGATGTCATTATTTCCAAGATCTTGAAAGAGACTATTTTGTTCGGGGCGGCTGTAGGCTCTATTTCAAGAATTATACAAAAGCGCCATTATTCTCTAGGAACCCAATCAAAAAACTGTTTATCTTTAAAGTTTAACTGTTGTCGTTCACTTCTGCAACAGAACAGAAACTGGCAAGTGAGTGGCACACTGGAGCTCGCCCCAGCCCATTCATTCCACTTTTAGAACATGGCCCTTAGCATTGTGGAGAAAGAGCTAACTTTAACGGATAACCAGCAACAGTTTATATCTGCTCACAACTTGATTTACTACTTGGCTACTAGGTTTTTCAGAAAGAATTCAAGTGGCTCCTGCACATGGTGTATAGTATATTTTTGATCCAGCCCTTGGGACTTAATGTGGCTTACCGATGGTCTGTGATTATAATTGAAATTCATCAGCAACAAGAAATAAGCCTCTGGTTTCAGGATAACCAAGGAGCCTGGACACCCCTTTCTTCAGAGGACTAGGAACGATTACTTCTCTCTTCCCCTTCCTCCTTAGCTTTTTTCTCTCTTTACTCCACACTCCACCCAATCTCACCCCCAAGTGTGAGGGCAGGCGTGTGCACACAGTCACACATACACACACACACACCACATAGCCTTTCACTGACTTGCATTTTATTTATTTATTTATTTATTTTAAGATTTTAGTTACTTGAGAGAGATACAAAGACAGCATGAAGGGGAGAGCAAGCAGGAGCAATGGGAAGGGCAAGAAGGAGAGGGAGAAGCAGACTCCCCACTGAGCAGGGAGCCCGATGAGGGGCTCGATCCCAGGACCCCGGGATCATAACCTGAGCCGAAGGCGGACGCTTAATTGACTGAGCTACCCAGGCACCTCTGACTTGTGTTTTAACACAAAGATTTGGTGCAAAGCATTTTAGAGGAAAACTTTAATCAAGCTCTATGGCTAAACTCTCATTCCTCAAAAATGCATTCTCTTAATCAGTGCAGTGAGACACCAGACACTCAGTGAACCCTCAGTAGATTCAAAGAGAAAGCCACCAACTTGCATGTTGCAGGAGTCAAGAGGAAAGACAGATGATCAACTGTAGCTAGTGTGGCCAAAATTCATACTACGGCATCGGTGTTGAATTGGATACAATCAAAAATGCCCGTCGTGCCCATTTGCCACGGGTGTTCTGCCCAGGTGTGTGAAGGGTGAGAATCCAGCAACACTGGCCCTACAATTTTCAAGGCCTCCTATTAAGTCACAAGCAACTGAAAGAAATGTTTCCATCCAATCTGGTGCCATCAGAGACAACCCACATGTCTGTATCATTCTGTCTGCTTTCAAAATCGAGGTAGAACTCCCAAACCACCAGCCACACGAGGCTATTACTACAGATCAGTGAGCACACCAATATTGCTTAACACCCTCTTCATATCAAACTAGAGGATCTAACATAGAAATGAGATGTAGCCTAGGGGAAACTTCCAGGGGGAACTTCCTAATGTTTCTGAGATACTACATAAAGAATAGGGTTGCAAGACACCTCAAGCTGATCAGATGGCAGCCAAACTGACAAGAGCACATATGAAAGGAGACGGATTTTAGGGTCTCAAAAATAGAGTAAACAAGTCATGGAACTCTATGCTAAAACATGTAACAACATAGGAGAGTATTTCAAATTTCTAGAACTTGGGAGACCTTGATTAACAAGCACTAGCTCTACAGACCAAGAAATAATTGAGCTTTTAATGACAGCCTCCAGACTTGGAGATATTATGTAAATACAGATTTAAAGGCAGCCAAAGTGTCTCCCGAGACAATGATATCAGTGCTGGGCTGTTCTTTGTATTTGAGGATGAGGTTGCTGCTTTCGCCTACCAGGAGAACGATGGACACACTGAATTATACTTTGGTGGTGGGGAAAAAGGATCCAAGAGCTACCTGCTGGCTCCTTTCTTGGCTCCCTTGTAAACAAAAGCACCCATTTTCAAGATGGCTCTCTGACCTTCCAGGTATGCTTTGCTAACTAGCCTATGCTAATACGAAACCCACTCATCCTGGACACATCATTGGCAACTGAACCAACCAGCTTATGACTGACAATGCAAGAAGATGTAGGGGACTGCTTTTAATTGCCAGAAAAAACAAGAACAATCACCAAGTCTTTCACAAAGGGGGCAGTGTATTATAATATGGAAGATACTGCTTTGCATTTTGACAGCAACCTGCATCTGAAGATTTCTAGCAGCTTTTCAGAGATTAATTCCCATAGTATGCTAAGATGTCAAAGAGGAGGGAAAGAACATTCACCTAGTTTGACAGGGAGAATGAGCCAGGTCTGAGTCTCCCAGCAGCTCCAAACCCACACTCCTCGCATTCCCAAGCTAAGTGGACGAGGGACAGCCCAACCACCAAGGACAGGCAGCCAGATGGGCCTAACTTGGCAGATCCGTCACCTCGTCTTGAAGTGCGCATAGTCCTTATACATGCCATTTCCTCCACTAGATCATAAGCTCCTTGAGGGTAAGGACCCCCCAGTCCTAACTGTATGCTTTCACACTGCCTCGTTCGGTGCCTTGTTCCTAGCCGGCATTAAATACACACGTGAAGTAGTAACCAGAACTCTATACATTCTGTGTATTTATCACAGTGCTGAGTATGTTTTTCATCATGTTGCAAAAGCCCGTATGCCCACTCAAAGCAGGTCTGAGCCAAGAAGCCATGTTTGGAAAAACCGGCAGTAGTCGAACTGCCAAGCCACTGGGCACGGCGTAGAAGTCAGCTACCAGCTGATGATCAACACCTCATTTTTTTTTTTTTTTAACTCCACAAATTTGTAACATCCCAAGAGCTTCTACCCTCACTTGAGCTGAACACCACCATGTGAAGAAGGGAGTACCAGCCCCATCTTCACCACGAGGAATTTACAGAGCACCGAGGTTGACTTGCCCAGGGTCACAAAGTGCAAGAAGGGAGATGAGAATCTCAAACGCTCCTCAATTTCCCTTCCAGGACACCCACGCAAAGTGTACCCAAGTAAACCAGCCCCACACACATACCCCTCATATATACACTTTTATCGTCCCCATATACTCACATGACAGTTCTAGCTTTCTCATTTAAACCCGCTGGGGGCCGGTACTTACCGGTTTCACCGGCTGTTCTCATCCAACAGCCCAAGGCTAGGTGATTAGCTGACAGAACTCCAACAGGCTGCTTTGGCCAGTAGAACCAATTCTTAGACGGCCTTGTTTGGGAGCTTGTCTGTTCTGGGGCACTCACCAAGGGAACTCTGCTATCAGAGACAGGGGTATGCTGTTTCAGAGAAGCCTCACCTGGGAGATACCATTACAGTGGGTAATGAAGGGAAGCCATTCCTAAGATCATTTGATCAGGAGGAACGGAGCTACTTGTTAGGCCTATTTGCAGAAGCAGCCGGACAAGCAAGGGAGGCACTAGCTCTTTCTCCAGCCGCCTGGTTTCAATCTTAGACCCCGCGAGAGATAGCCCGCTACCGACATACACACAGGCACGGTCACACAGAACACATCCGTGTTCGCTCTCAGACACACACGCAAATGAGGTCAGGTCGGCGGATGTCCTGTTCTCGGCTAACGTCTTTAATGAGTGACTTCCATTGTTTGCGGCAGGAGCTTGACATTCATTAAATCCAATAAGCCAGCCTGTTATAGTTGCAAATTTCAAAGACAGGCTGCAAATAAGGAAATCAATAGGTAGACCCCAGCATCCAGACCTCATATACCGCACACATTATGTGGAACCAATAGTCCTTATTTGAATGACTTCTTAAGCTTCTACATGTACGCAGCGCCACACTTTAACATTCATCGTGTATGTTGCCATGAGCTAATGCCAATAAAATGTTAATGAGGGGCTCCTGGGTGGCTCAGTCGTTAAGCATCTGCCTTCGGCTCAGGTCATGATCCTGGGGTCCTGGGATCGAGCCCTGCATCGGGCTCCCTGCTCAGTGGGAAGCCTGCTTCTCCCTCTCCCTCTGCCTGCCTATCTGCCTACTTGTGATCTCTCTCTCTCTGTCAAATAAATAAATAAAAAGTCTAAAAAAAAAAAAATGCTAATGATCACGGGATGTGTATTTATACTTGCAAACTGATGCATTATTACAGGTTTCAGCTTTTACACTTACAACACTGATGCTTCTGAGAAGAGAAAATAGGATGCGTAAAGAACAGAGGTAGACTATTTCTTTAGCATAAAACAAAACAAAACAAAACAACCACCACCCAAGGTGATTACCTTCAAAGATGCCTCTAAGACATGTGTGGGAAAAGGAAAAGGGAAGCAAAGCCTAGCAATAAAACATTTCCTAATTCTCAAAACAGAACGTGGTATCCTCGGAGGCATTCAGATGGGAAAAACTAGATGCAGACGGACAGCCCCAGTGAGCAGGATATGGTAAGCCAACGTCTTGAGTCTCGGGTTTTAGCTGCCCTCTGTTACTATGCATGGGTGATAATTACACCCTGCCCTGATCCACTCCAGTGAAAAAGCCACAAATTTCCTCAAATTCAGGCCTCAAAATTCAATTCCCAAATTTGTTAAGGCTTTCTGTACACCAAACAGATGCCTGAATGCTGTTTTCCAACCCATGTGCCGCGGCTCACCATCCTAGGTCCTTGCTCTGTTCTCAGTTACTCTATCCCCAAATCGGTTTTCTGCAAGAAGGTGGCCGCTGCAGGTTGGAAGAGGGGAGATACACGGGGTCGACGGAGACCTTCATATCATTTCTAAAGCAGGAATTTAGATCGATTTGCAAAGCTCATATTTCACCCAAATGAATGAACGAACAAACGAATGAATGGCATCTTGTCAGAACTGGAGGTCAAAGAAGGTGAGCTGGCATAAAATGCAGCCACTCTTTTTCAGGCTTCTGCTCTTGACCTAAGTTTCCATGTCCACATTTGAAGAGAGGTGCGTGTGTATCTCAGCATCTTATTTGGGGGCTATGGTTAAAGAAGAGGAAATACTATCTATTTAAAAAAAAAAAAAAAAAAAGGCTTCGCTCCAATACTAAAGGAAGAATGCGATACGACAAGACCTACTTTCCATCTATCCCACTTCACAGATGGTCGGAGATTAAGATTCAGTTGGCCAGAGCCTTGGTGGTTGGAATCCCCTGTCTCCTCCCCCGGCCAAAGACAATATTTTGGTCTTCATCAAACTGGCCATGGGTCCACGAAAAGATCATACCCCACTCAGAGAAATCCCTCGAGAATCCGAAAGCCTGATCTGAAGGATGACCTCACAACGGAGCATGCTGGTTTTCCCAACTTACACAAGTTCTTCATTTGCCAGTTGTTGGATCTACCAAGCGGTCTGTTCCCCTTGCCACAGATTACTCCACTGCCTGGGGCAGCTGCTACAGTCCACTTATAGAAGACATGGCTCACCAGGGGTTCATGCGAGAGCAGATCCGCCCTCCAGCACGCAGTCGGCTTTGCTTCCCCAGTGCTCACACACACACAGGATGGGAAGACTGCCCTGGGCGTAAGACTTTCTGCGGCCCTGGGAAGCCCCTGGGTTGAGATCACGGGGCCCGGCCCTCACCTCAAGGGAAGATACGGTGTCCCAGCAGGAGAACTGTAGATAAAGCAGAAGCAGGGTTTGGTGCCAGGAGCTGGAGTCAGCAGGCCTGAGGGGGGACCCATCGGTAGGTTCTAAATTTCTCCTGTGGAGCCTGGACTGTGGCCTGGCAGACATCTGGACCAAAAAACCCAGGTAGGAACAAGGAGAGGAAAGGTGGTGTTCACAATAAATTCTATAATTCTGTATTATAACTCTGCATCAGACAATGTCCATCTCAGAGTGCTCTTTCTGCTTTAAGACTGAGGCGAGTACACTGTCTGCACCCACGGTCATGTGAGCCAACCACCAGCTGCTTCGGGCCTTTTGCAGGTTGCCTAGGCATGCCCTATCCTCTTCTGCCCTGCTTAAGAATGAGGGGCTACAGGTTATACGGCTGTATAAGGAGAGGACAAGAAAAGACCTTCCGTCAGCCTAACGTTGCTTTTTCTAGAAAAAGAAACCAACCGCATGGGTTCTTCATGTTGATTTCTGGTTGACTCTTGCTTCAAAGAATCCTGAGACCAAAACAGAAACCTACTACCTTTTAAGGGGTCTGATAGTAACTCTAAGAATATGTCCCTTAAGTAACCCATCTGTGTCTCCATTCATACGTACTCAAACAACAAATAATGATTTAAGCTTCTGTGTCAGGTGCCGTGCTAGGCACTGGAAGTGAGATTATAGGCTTGAGCAGTGGGTTTCATCTCTAGCTGCACATTATATATATATATATATATATAAAATGTTTATTAAATATACAGATAAAAATGCAACTACAAAACAAGTCAGGGTATGTGTATTGCAAAACGAAGGGTGCTAAAAAAAGGAGGGACTGCAACAGTTCACAGGAGGGCAAGACTCTCTGACTGCTGTTATCTTACTAGATGAGAAATCAGGGCCAATAATCATACGTCCGTATGTAAGGGAGGTATTGGATATTGTTCCAAAGAACATCATTGCCTTGCCTTTCATCCCCATGCCCCCAACACCCATAGGCCCCCGGTGCTGGGTCAGGTACAGAGGGCATACAAAGAGAGATGAAGAGCAGTCCCTGTCTTCAAAGAGCTCAGAGTCTAGTGAGGATGACAGACATAGCAGTAGGAAATACAATGCAATGAGACCCTCGGCATAGGAAGCTTTGGAGGGACACAGCAGGGAGGATAATATGTCCCCAGAGGGGTCAGAGGATACAGCACTTGAGCAGGGTATTGAAGGATGAGGAGGAGTTCACCAGGATGTGAAAAGTGAAAAGCATGAGGTTGGTGCGGGCCATTATTCAATAGTATATTCCAAGCAACAAATACTCCAAGCATGCTAGAGTAGCCTTCTTAGCTTTAGGCCCCTGTTTCTGCTGAACTAAATGAGTCTGGGGCTATGTAAGAAAGAGAACAGATCTCAAACCTCTGGAAAAAGGAACCTGTATGAGACTTTAAAAAAGCCAAGTCACTGGCTCCTAATGAATTATGGAAGAAGAGGTCAGTATGGTCTGATACAAAGCATCTTCTAGAATGGTAACCATGTATGAGCAGAACAGACCTCTTTTGGGGAATGCATTAGGAAGATAATACTTGGAAAAAGAAAATCCTTCCTTTCATGGTTCATTTCAGAACGAAGTTGCATTCTGTTATGCAGTTTTAATTTCAGGGGTTGATTCTTAGCTACTCTTTTATATACCCAAAAGAATTCTCTCCAACAAAAGAAGAATAGCTCATTCCAGTTCTACTTCTGGATCATTCTGTGATCTTGAGGAAATCACTGAATCTTCAGAAATAAATTCATTCATTCAGCATTGACAAAGCACCTATCTGGTATGTGCCCAAGTAGGCAGAGGATGCTTTGGAAGTACAGTACAGGAAGTGTAACTAATACTGTCCAGCGAAGTCAGAGGATACAGCACTTGAGCAGGGTATTGAAGGATGAGTAGGAGTTCACTAGGTTCTAGGGCAAGCCATGAACAAGGTACAGTCTGCCCTTGAAGAGATTTAAAGTGCAATGGGTGTGGGCCATGACAGCTCAGTACAAGGATGGCAACAGGTTGCTACTGAAGGACAGAGTAAGGGACTCTCCACAGCATGAAGGCAGCTTTGCAAAGGAAGTACATTTGAGCTGAATTCGGCAGAACAAGTAACCACACCGTGGCGAGGACATGTCTCAGGCACAAGGAACATTATGTGTTAGGGCCCAGAGAAGATTAGAAATAATTAGAACCACAGAATTTTTACTTGGGTGACAAGGTGGCAGATGTCCAAGGCTGAAGACTCAGGGAATTTTTCCACCACAGGGTGGAATGTTCCAGGTAGCAATGTGGAAATAATTTGGAAGAAACACTACTGAGCGGGTAAGCCAGAGGAGAAAGCAAGCACAGGTACCAGGGAACTAGAAAGACAGTAGGAGGGACATTTCAAGAGGGGCCTCTGTTTTGGGCATTGGCCGAAGACAGCAGGGATGTTAGGCCTGGTGGGATTAACTGGTCTCAGAATCGTGAATGGAAATACAACTCTATCCCAAAAGGACCAAAAGAATGTGGGAGGCCAAATTCTTTTTTTTTTTTTTTTTAAGTCTTTGGGGTTTTTCCAGCTTTCCTGAGGTATAATTGACAAATAAAAATTGTATACGCTTAAGGTGTACCATGTGATGGTCTGATATATGTATATGCTGTGAAGCGGTTACCACAATTCAACTTAATTGATACAGTTGTCACCTTACCCAGCTACCTTTTTTTTTTTGGTGTGGTGAGAACACGTAAGATCTGCTCTCTCAGCAAATTTCAAGTACAAAATACAGTATGATTAACTATAGTCACCGTGCTATGTATAAGGTCCCTGGTTTAACCTTTAGTTTCTGTTGGGGATTCCAAACAGAACTGTGTCTCAGTTTCTGTTTTGTTTGGGTTTTATCTGTTTTGGGGGGTCTTTTCAAACAAGAGTAAACGACTAGCTTAGAATGGTGGGAGGACAAATAAACGAAGCTGGTATGCTGATAATAAATATGATTATGTTGGAAGCCCCTCATGTTAGCAGTCATTAAAGCACCAGTAATAACTGTATTCCCATAAGAATAATAAGGACAAACTGTTCTAATGATTTTGGCCAATATGACAGCATTTATGACTTTTAGAGAAAATGCCTTTCAACTTTTATATAGACTCTACTAACAAACATAAAAATTCTACAAAGACTAATAAGTATCCGCAGATGGACCTCGAATGGGTAACTTTTATAAAAGTCAACATACTAAGAAAAGAGAACACACACAGGGATACGTTGTATATCTCGGCAAAAATTAAACTAGGACTACCTGCAGGGAAGCACAACAAATATCTAAGCATCTTGACTCTGAGAGGTAGAGACCACATAGCAAGTCATAAAAAAGCAGGAGGAAACATCAATGCACAGGTGGTGAAAAAAAAAATCTCTCCAGCTATCTAGCCCTCTCAATAGAGACACTGAGATGAGAGACAATAAATACAAACGTAGCAGTGCTCTTACATGTTGATTTGGCATCAAGACAGATGGACACGGGCGCTGTGGATATGAATCTGAAGACCATCAGCATGGGAGGTACACAACTGCCCAGGAAGAGTACAGAGTAAGAGAGAAGAAAAAGAAAAAGCTACATAGAGGTCAAAAACGCTCCACTTCGCGTCCTCCCATCCTTTCCCTAGAGTTTGCTAAGGTTGACGTCATGTCACTTTCATGTCAAGAGAAACGGCCAAGTGGCACCAGAGGTCTGTGGACGTGTTTCAGAGTGTTTTAAGGAATCCCACACTCTGGACATCTGGTGTCACTTGAGCAGCATGAACAAAACCACACAGCATGCCTGGAGAAAGATTTTCCTTTTGGTGGTAAAGAGTACCATGGTGGCAATATATCACTCAGCCTTGTTGCAAAGTGTACTCTTATGAGGTCGTATTTGTTGCACTCCTGCAATGTGTCGGACATTGCACAGGGTACAAAGAAAAATACAATATGGTGGGGCTAGCAGATAAACCGTAGCTAGCGTTCAATTTTCTTCGTCCACAAGAAGGATTATGCTCAGTTCAAACAGCTCTTATTTGCTCAACGTAGCCCCCAAAGGCTTTGCCAAGCCAAGATGCAAATGTTCAGTGTGGCCGGGTCCCACCTCCGCCTAGTACTGCTGCTAATGAGCTTCGTGACCTTGGATACATCCCGTGGCCCCTTTGAACCTGCCTCCTCATGTACGACAGGGGACTACCTTGCCAAGAGGTTGTGAGAATCAAAGAATTCACATGTGGGAAATATGTGGAAGCAATTCAAGATATTCTACCCAGAGAAGATGCTTATGATTACGACCCTAGATTTCATGAGCCATAAACAAAATTGCCAGCATCGAGGTGTCATGTCCCAGGCACTCTGCTGAAAGTTACTCCTGCCCAAGTTCATGCCACTTGCGTAACTACATTAGGTTTTATTATTTCCATTTTACAGACGAAACAGACCTCCAGAGACATCAGGTCACCTAAGGGCATACAGCGGGAGAGTAAGACGACAACCCCATGTCTGTGGAGCTCCAAAGCCCATGCTCTGATGTCTGCTTCCTCAACCACACAACAGTTCCGTGGGACATGACGTGTTCTCAGTTACTCACAGCCTTTGCATGAACACGGATGTTCTGAGGGCTTCACAGTGAACTGTGTCTCCACTGTGGCGCTTAGGACCAAAGCCTGGAAATGGGCAGACCCTCTACCCACAAAGCAGACACTTCAACATTAGAATCAAGGGCAGAGGGGCATCTGTAGTTAGACACCAGACTTCTGGCTCCCCCAGGACCGGGAGTCTCTCCTGTTCCCCTCTTCCAATGTTCTACACCAGCAAATGAAGATGGCAGCACTGGGGACTTCCTGATTTCAAGGAAAAAGTTGTAGGACTAGAGGGGACATGGACATGAACCAGAAACACTGTTGCAATGGCCAGATAAGCATGTCCCAGAAGGACCCAGGAATGGAGGCACCTCTCCATAGGTTAGTTCTGGTTTTCCCTCATCTCCTTAAGTGGGGATGAGCACTGCCTCCTAGTTTATGGTTAAGCAGAAATATAAGGAAAGTAGGCAACCAGTCGTGTGAAAATCAGCTCCTGGGCTGCAAAGAACCCTCTTCTTTCTCTGCTATCTTAGGG